CACAAGTGGAAAATATATTTTGAGGATTTTTAAAATGTTTATATCTTCCAAGTGCAGTGGGATTTGTACTGAGTGGCAAAAAATAGCTCGTATCTGTTGATAAGTCTAACCGACTGTGCACAGATTGGATTTCAAAGACCACTCCGCTTAAACCTATCTTTATACTCTTCATCTAAAGGTCAGCAGTGCCCTCTAACACTTGTTTGTAAAGCCAGTCATCTGAGACCATTTAACACATTGACCTTGGAGTGGGGCCAGTTAAGCAGAGAAGTACTGCTTTGAATAAAAAGCAGCCCACTGATTTATTTGTATCAAAGCAAGAAATCACTGCCTTTTAAATCCAATCTTTACCAAAGGAAACAAATAAGTTTCCAGTCAGCAATGTTTTAGTCTCTCTTTACCTGTGGAGTTCTTCTTTTCCATTCACCTGGCTGCTGTCATTTTTAAAGACGTGGAAAATGTTGGAACCTTTTGACTTCTGAGGCACAGTGAGGTGAACTGCTGTGAGAAGAAAGACTGTTTGATGATAATCTTTTACACCACCCTTGTTATGAGGGGAAAACAGGGGTGAATGAAACCATCTTCTGGTTGGTCGAAGTAGCCATTCATGTTACCCGAATCCTCCAATCAATTCCTGTCTAATTAAATCCTTCCATCTGTTTTGTTACCACATTAATTTCATCTTCCTCTGTCCTCCTCTTCCAGTTTCTTTACTCGTGTAAAAGTGCAAAAGTAAAGGCTAAGAAAGTAAAAAGTAGTTCCTTGAAGGACGTTTCTACCATCGACTTTTATGCAAAAGTAACTGAACCTTGTGCTATATTAAAGATGATTATAAAATACTATTAGTACAACAACTATTTTCTGTTGCCTGCATTGTAGAGAGTAAAATGAGCTCTTCAGTAGATTTTCTTAGTGTACAGGCTGTGATCAGCTGACCTGCTGCTCTCTGTGTATTTAGACTGAAGATGTAAGCAGATGTTTCATGTTTGAAGCAGGTGTTTCACAGCTGTCTTGGCTGATTTCCATTTCCTACAGTAACAGTATACTTTTGATTTTGTCTTTATACTAGACACTATACCAGCGGTCCCCAACCCCCGGGCCTCGGACTGGTACCGGTCCGTGAGTCGTTTGGTACCGGGCCGCGAGAGTTGAGACTCAGGTGTGAAATGTATAGTTTTCAGGGTTTTCATCGGTTTTCAGCATTATTTTGTTATCGTTTTTATCGTTAACTCTGTTTTCCCGGGTTTTTTCACGTGTGTTATGAATAAATCTTTTTTTCGGTACCGGTACTAGTTTTATTTTGTTGTATTTATCCGCGACACCTTAAAGGCCGGTCCGTGAAAATATTGTCGGGCATAAACCGGTCCGTGGAGCAAAAAAGGTTGGAGACCGCTGCTCTATACAAATGTTACAACAGTGGAATTTAGTAAATTAGTCATCAAGTGTCATCAACTTAAATGCAAATTATTCTTCTATATTTGAAACCAAACGCTGACCATGAGCGTCACAGCCACGGTGCACCTGTCCAACACAGAGCCTCATCAAGAAAGGTTAAGGTTCATTTATTTATATAGCACATTTTAAAACACCAGGGTTGATCAAAGTGCTTAACAATCAACAAAAAACAGCGAGACATTAAAAGGCAACGGTTTACGGTATTTGACAGGGAGCCAGTGTAAATTAGAACTGGGGTGATGTGGTTATACTTTCTAGAACCTGTTAGAAGACGTGCAGCAGCATTTTTCACTAACTGCAGACGGTAGAGAGAAGAGTGATCGAGGCCCAGGTATAAAGAGTTACAGTAGTCCAGTCTAGAGGTGATAAATGCATGAATAAGTACTTTCAATGGAAGATAGGGCTTCGCCTTTAATATCAAACGTAACTGGTAGAAGCTATTTTTTACCACTGAGGACACTTGTTTCTCTAATTTAAGAGAGCTATCCAAAAACACTCCGAGGTTTCTTACCATGTGAGAGAGAGCTGCTGTTGGCCTTCTACCGCTCCTCAGTGGAGAGCGTGCTCTCCTGCTGACTGGGTGTTTGATATACACGACTGAGAACAGGAAGGCTACGCAGAGGCTAATTAGCACCTCCCAAAAAATAATTGGTTGCCACCCCTGGAGGCCATTGCCAATCCTTGCATCTTAGGAGAACCAGGGCGCTCAAACGTGGCCACTTGCACCCCGCCCACCTGCTGTTTGACCCGCTGCCCTCTGCTCAGCACCTCATGATAATCAGGTTCCACAGTAGTGATGGGATTTCTGGCTCTTTTTAGAGAACCGGCTCTTTCAGGTTGTTTTGTTGCTTTAATTAATTTATTATTAACAATAATATAAAATTATGCACAAAAGGAATTACTAATGTAAAAAAAAGTGGTTTTATTTATATATGTTTATATATAAATATATGCGGTGGCCCCTAGAGACAAAACACGTACAAACTCCAAAACACATTTCTAGCATGAACTGAACTTCCAAACAGAGCTACTAGATCACTTAAATTACACAATCGAAAGCATGTGTGTATTGTTTGTGTATTTATACACAAACACTCATATATATTCAAATAATTTAAACAAATGTTCATTTACCTGTTACTACCACACACCAAATCTGGTCGTTGGTACTTGCTGGCTTGTGTAGCCACTAGGTAACAAAAGCTCAACACTGCGCCCAGCATCCTGGAGCACTTCTGTTGTGTTTTGTACGTGTTTTGTCTCTAGGGGCCACCGTAAATATACTTTTATTTATTCACTCCACATAAAATGTAATAAATAAATCATATAATATAAAAAACAACTATTCACATTTCAACTTTTAACTATTTAAATTTTCAGCTTTTTCCTTTTACAAATTTAAAGTGAAACAACACAAAACACTGCAAACCACAACACAATTAAATATAAATTAAACTATGAAAACAAAAAGAAGATGCACATTCTCTGTCATATGGGCCTGCATGAATAAACTTTCTGAATCCTTTATCATCTGCAACTGAAAATAGTTGTGGATGATTACTATACCTTTCTAATGTGACGTTGTTGTCCCTGGCTCTCTTTCTCTCTCTCTCCCTCCCGCTCTGTTCCTGTGCTACTGAGTGTAACTACCGCCCCTCCCCCCTCTGCTCAGCGCAAAGCACAAGGCTCACGTGTGGAGTGAAGCGGAAAAAAGTGCGAGAGAGAGGGTGAGAGAAAGAAAAAATAACCCACGGCCCGCGCTAAGGAGCCAGCTCGCGTCTTTGAGCCATTTCATTCGCGACCGACACATCACTAGTCCACACCTCCAGACTTACAAACAGCTTCTTCCCCTGGGCCATTTGAACTGTTAACATAAACTGAAGCCATGGTCTGAGTAAGCTGAATCACTCACACACGGATGCTATGCAGACCAAGTCTTTTCTTTGCACTACTTCCAATCACTTTGCAACTATTTTGTACTCTGTGTAGCTTTCTCTTATTTTTGCATATATTTCTCCTGTTTGCTATTTATTTTAAGTATTTGTACTTTGTTACTTGAATTGAGAAGGAGGAGTAGAATCACCATTAAACAAATTCTGTATTCCTAACTCGTTTTTTTGGTTTACTTATTTCTCTTTTTAAACTGCAGTTGATGTTTTTTTTGCTTGTGGGTCCTGCACGGTACCTCTGCTGTCTCTCTTCTGGACACAGATCTATGATGTCATTCCAGAGATCTGCTGAAGCCACTCGGACAGTTTAGTGGTCACGTTAGTGTGGGTAACACTGTAGCCTTCACCTTCCACATCTCGAGCTTCTCACGTTCCCTCTTCCTGATGATGCTAAGTGCTGACAGACAGAAAGACAGAGAGCAATTGTTATTTGATGTTTTTGGTCGTCTCTCTATTTGTCGATAAAAATAAAGAATACTTCAGTCTCATCTCCTAAAACTGGGGATCTGGAAAAATAAAGATCGATAACATCTTTAGTGTCTGTGAAGCAGAGGGGGGTTATTTGGATCAATCTTTTTTTGGACTGCGATGCTGTGCATCATAAGTTTGTATTAATTGTCACTGCTGCTCGAGAGATAGAACAGGTTCCAGTGCATAAATGAAAACCTAAAACCTAAGTGAGAATTCACCTTCATCTTCCTCACATTACAGGCGATGCAGAGTAAAAATCCATCGGTAGTTGAAGTTTCCATGGCATCCAAACTGCAACAAACGGGATTAGCTCAGAATTATTGACTTTCGACGTGACCTTTCTCACCATCCCTCTGCCTCCCCAGGCCGTACATCTGCTTCGTTCCTGGTTGTCTTCTGATAGCACTGCTTTCCTTCACAGCTCTAAAATGAACCACACGTACAGCTACATGTAAATTCAGCTTATATAGATGCTGTCGTGGGGCTACTACACACCAGATGGAAAAGAGTAAAAATAGAACTCGTGCATGTCTTAAAATAAGAGGCTAAACGTCTAATCAGAGAAATATTTGTAATGCCGACTTTACAGTACAGATTATGCTTCTGTATCAGTATCTGTGTGACTGATTTTTCAACTCTCAATAGCTTATTGTGGATCTAAAAAAAGTATTTATATGCATGTGTGTGTGCTCAGTGCATGCGTGGTTGAGCACTTTGTGGGCGATTTGTGCAGCAGATTCAAACCCCTCAGCACTCTCCATCTCTGTTCTTCTCTCTCTCTTCCTCTCTCTCTTTTTGTTTTTCCATCTCTCTCTCACCCTCACTCCCTCTTTCTCTTTGAGTGGAGCAATAGAGACACTGAAGCTCCATTCCTGATAGGTATTAGATGTTCTTTTTCTTATTTCCTCCTGTATATCCCTGTGCAAGAGCCGGCATGCTCAGTCACTGATCAGGTCTTGCTCTGTGCTTTTGGAAAATTCTGCTGATGTTACTGGAAGCTTAACCATCATCTTCTTATTTTTCTTTTTTTTTGAGCAAAAGTAGGAGACTTTAAGGGTTCCAGTCTTGTCTTAGGGATGTTGTCAGCTGCTTCATTTGAGTGATTTTTCTCTTCTTCTTCCACAGGATAACTGTGCCAGAGTGCTGCTAGTTCGTGGAGCTGACAAGGAAGTAAAGAACTACAACAGCCAGAGTCCTTTTCAGGTAGTGTAAAAAAAAATCTTCAGTAGTGTTTGTGTGTAAGTGATTATGGGAGATTGAAACCGGGGGAAACCGTCTTCAGAAGCTGCACATTTTTTTTCATCCCATTTGTTACCATGGCAACGGTGCAACATGGTCAAGGTCAGTTGCAAGCAGGGATGTAAATAGCTTTCTTGACAATATTCGATTATTTATGATTAAACATTGTTAGGACAGAGCACAACCAAAACTCAGCACGCAGTGTAAAGATTACCGCGTTTATTCGTTTCGTTTCTTTTCTTTAAACTTGTAACTTCCACCAGGTCACCAGCAAACTCCTGGGTAGGCTTTACTATTAAACTGCGTTTTAGCTGCACGTTAAAGGAAATCAGAAATTTTAAAATGTTGCTCTTCGTGCATTTTGGCCCTCTTCTCTTATTAGATTGCTCTTTTCTTTTCTTTTTATTCGTATATGTGAATATTTCAGACAACCCTAACCCTAAACAGATCTCTGGCAACCTGGCGTATGTTACTAGGTTAACTGGAGATCTTTAAATGTAATATGAAAATCATCTAACTTTAACAACAGCGAGCTCTGCCTGTGTTCCTCCAACTTATCCCTCAGTTCGTTCAATCAGTCACAAAGGTAAAACATTAATTTTCTCAAGACAGATGAAATGATTGTCCTCCATAACATGGAGTGTATGTGCACAACGGCTTGAGCTGGTATTCAAGCGCATGTGTATTTGTATGTTTCTGCTTGCAGTGTTTGAAGTGTACATGCCTTAGGAAGCAAATCCATAAAAAACCCCAAGAAGCAGTAAGAGTTGTCTAACTGGTATGTTTGACTCATAACCTACGCCCGAGTTATAAAATAGCCATATTCAGGCAGGCGTTTATGAAAGGCAGTCCCACAGGGTCCTCAGCTGTCCTCCAAAGCCACTCCAGTGGAGCGCTTTATTAGCGTGAGCACTTCAGAGGCAATGAGGCTGAGTCGAATGAAGTTTTTAGTCAGTTTGAGCTTTCAGCTAAGAAGCCTAGATTTTGGATTTAGCTGTGTTGCTGTTAATATGCAGTTTTTTCTCTATCTTTGTGATGCTTTTTTGTTTGTGCCTGCTTGTAGAAACATGCAGAAAACCCTCACCCTGTGAGGAGATTTGCTACGGTGCAGGCAGGCAATAAATTGGCTGCATGACTTGAATAAATATGTTTTTGTGGACCAAGTATCCTGACTTTGAAGATGGCCTAGGCTTCCACTGAACGTGATGATTTAGGTTTTTTTATGCCGGCAAAAACACCGAGTGAAGCTGTGTGTCTGTCAGTGTCACAAACATGTGGTCTAGACTGTTTTGTCCATATTTGTGCTGTCGTTGCTTCTTTGCTTTGCTTTTTGCTGCAGAGAAGAAGGAAGTCATAAAATAAACTTTTTAGCGTTTAAAACAATAAAATGGCTCAATGCAGCCACGGTCTGACTTTTTTGTTTTTTTCCTTTAATGGGTGGTTTTGTGTTTCTTCCTCTTTGTAGTGAATCCTGCTCAGTCCTTCTGTCTGCATAGCCAAAGAGTTATGCAAATGGTCACCAACATAAGACCATAAATCCTTAGAATTTCAGGCACAAGATAAACGTGGAGTAATACGGAGTTTGAAGCATTACTAGATGTGAAAACTCTCTGACTTATGTAACTCTGTTATGACAAGGCAGGCTTTTTTTATTTGTTTGCTAAGAATATGTATTTAGCCCGCACTCAGATTACCTCTTGTGCTGTAGCTTGTGCTTTTCCTTTTTAAAGAACCTTCGAAATAGCAACCCAAAGAGTATTTCCACTTAAATGGAGTCTGTTTTTCACACAGGGCTGTTAATGCTCCGTCTGCATCTAATCACTAAGAGAACACCAACAGTAGTCAGTGTGGTAATATACTGGAGACAGACAATACAAGAATCGAGCACAAAAACTAAGGAAATGGCATTTAGTTGATTTTTTCTTTCTTTGAACACTTTGGAGATGGTACTGGATCTCTCTCCAAATAATAATGAAGGTGCTCTGTGGCACGGGCCCTATCCAGATCAGTCAAGCGTGGCGTGCTTGGAGCAGACACCAACTGACCGCTCTAGCAGGGTCTGTGCTCACAGGTGCACCCGGGCACCAGAAGCTCCAAACACGAGTCCGTAGCAGAAGAAACTTTTTGGCATTGGCAAGTTTTCCATGGGCGCAAACCACACACCTAACTCTGCTGCTCAACCAACAAATACGTTTTCCTCACAAAGGTGGAAAGTAAACACACATTTTAGTAGGTATAGGGTTTATTTTATCCTTTTTGTTAAATTTATCACATAATCACAGTACAGTTTGACTGTTTGG